GTATCCCTCTCCTCGTCTCTGCTTCTCTCACGCTGAGGTGCAATGAACTCGAGGTCGAAATCATCATCCGTTATTGTGGTGCTAGGAGGCACACTCCTGTGGGCAGACGGCACACCAGCTCGAAACACCACAGCAGCCTTCTCAACTACAGATACGGCACGATCCAGCGTGAAGATCGAAAAATTCATGACTATATCGCGGCTACGAAGATATGATACGATGTCTTGCTTTATAGAAACCAATTTTTCAATCTGCTCCGCGACTTTGGTGGTCTTTGTTGTCTGCTCCATTTCGCATTGCATAACCATCTCCGCAAAAGCCAATTGCTGCAGTGTCACTCCAAGGTTGACGTCGTCCCTCCTCATCTGAAAAACCCTGGTGAGTGTCGTCTTGAAGACAGGGTTGCCCCAAGGATCATCGCCGCTCCGTCTCCACATTTTATTTTCCTTCATCTCTGCTTGCATCTTGTTGCGAGTGGGGAGTTGGTGATCTGCTGCGACAGCACAAGCGGGAAACCTTTTTCAGCCTAAAACCAATGTTTCAGTTGCCATGTTATTTCCCCACGCACGGTCGTCATCATTCTGTTGCAATCCCCTATGACTGCTCGAATCCCGCAGGACGCTACGTGTGAGCGCAGTCCTTCCTCCGCAATCTCCCCTACAAGTTTGGTCGTGGTTTGCAGCGATGTGAAAAATGCATCCTCTGTAGGGTACAGAGTTTCGTCCTTTGCTGCGGAGAACGCAAAAACTTTCACGACCGAGCGGAACAACCTGCCCCTCATTCTCTTTGTGAATGCGCCGGACTCTTCATTCACTTGATGTTGTCCTCAAGTATTCGCGCACACTTTTGCTTGCGAGTTCGTGTCATCTGCTGGGAGACAGACATCAAAACGCACATAACAATATTTCAGAACTCGGCAGTCTAGATACATTTTAGCACTAGTGGCATTCGGCAGTCCATTTCAACCGCATGTTCATCAAAGTTAAATCCCTGCTTCAGCGATGTGCCTGAACTTTGCGAGTCCGAATGTAATCGTTTGGCAAGGGCAGCAATTGCAGCACACTTTGTTTACCTTTTCCAACAGTATTAGCGTGCCTCACTATTTGTCTGCCAATGGAAGGCGTATCGGCAGCGCTTCCCTCGTGCATTGTGTTCCTCCTGGGGACCCTCGTGCGTTGTGCTCCTCCTGGGGACGGGGAACTCGCTCTTCTAGATGCGCTTCTGTCGTCTTCGGCTGACCCATCGTCACTCTCTTCGTGCGCGGTGCCGTCGTCACTCCTGCCGTCGTCGTCGTCAGCCTCGTCAGTGTCGCGAGGATGTCTGTGGGAGGTCTCACTGTCGTCGACCTCGTCCCTTGACGCGTTGCCATCCTCCCTGTCGGACTTTTCCGATGAGGGGTGGTCGTGTTCCTCCTCTGCTTCCTCTCGGGCTCCGCTGTGCATATCGTTCGACCCTCTCAGATCGATCATATCCACCGTTGTGTCCTTTTTGTAGGAGATTCTCTTCTTTGTCCTGCGGTGCACCTTTGTGATTTCATCTTCCCGCGACCTCTTCTCGGGGGCCCTGCGCGGACGGTTCTTGGCACCGCTGACACGGCTCCGTGGAGCGGGAGTCGAAGGGGGGGACTCATTGCGTTCTTTCAGCTTTGAAAGAACGCGCTGACTTGATGGGACTGAAACTTTTGATCCGTGCTTTCGCCTGCTGGTGCGTTCCGTTTTCGTATTCTCAGATCCGCTTCATATCCGCTTCTGCGATGCTCTCTCGAATCTTTTCTTTCCGGCCTTGGATTTCTTCCTCTCCTTGTCCTTCTTTCTCGCGACCTTCAAACACCTGCATAGATCCTCGTATTTTGGCCTTGGAGCCATTTCCCTGTTTTCCCCACATACATGAAAGTGGAAAAAGAACAACAACTGCGTCAGCAATGTTGTATGTCGATCCATGCCTCTCTAAAGTGTCGAGGGGCCGCATTGGGAGAGAGAGAGAGAGAGAGAGAGAGAGAGAGAGAGAGAGAGAGGCGCAACCAAGATCTTATTTTTAAAATTGCGACGTCATGCAAGTTACCAACCTCTTTCAACATCAAAATGATTGTATCTGTTTTGTCAGGCGGTTTGGGTTTGCGTACTCAAGGGAAAAAAAAAATACATACTTCAAGCAAAAAAAACTAATCGGGAAATGCCCCCGTCCATCACCAAGGGAAGGTTGGCTACTGCGGGCCAATCACCTGGTCAAGCCACCGGTCTTTATGTAACAAATGCCCGCAGTAGTGAACTTTCCTCGCATTGTCGTCTCACGRCCTCGRCGACAATTCAAGGCTTTCGATGTGTTGCTCTGTCTTCTTTCACCTGCCATCCTTGCTCGCTTTCTCTTACTTGCACCCTGTTATTTTGTATTCTGTGTTGCCCCTTGTGCGACGTCGTAAGTTTTTGTTCCTGTTCACACGTGTTGGTCAACAAGGAATGACAATGACGAATTGCTAAGTTTTTTAGCAAGAAATCGAATCGTTTTTACAGGATAGTTTGGAGAGAGAGAGAGAGAGAGAGAGAGAGAGAGAGAGAGAGAGAGAGAGAGAGAGAGGTTGGCTACTGCGTGCCAAAAGTGAAAGGAATATCATTGTTGACCACGTAAATGTCACGCAGTAGTGAACTTTTGGGGACACGGTTGTTTCGCATGTGGTTTTCACCGCTTCATAAACTCAGCCACGTTTGACATGATATTTCTCTAAAAATGACAGAAAGAAAGAGACAAATGTCCTCTCTTGTTCCCCTGAATTTCTTATGAAACAACATGGTTTTCCCGTGATGATTCCGGCTAGACACACTTACAGAATTCGTCAGACTTCTGATGAAGGCCGTTACGATCTCTCTCTCTCTCTCTCTCTCTCTCTCTCTCTCTCTCTCTCTCTCTCTCTCTCTCTCTCTCTCTCTTTCTCTCTCTTAGCAAAGATAGAAACTTTGCAATTGTTTTTTCTACAATATGTACTTGTTCAAAAAAAAGCAGTCCTCACGCTGTGTTGCATGCTGCTTCGATCCCCATTGTGGTTTACAGAAGCGTGGAACAATGTGAACGATGTCTACAATAATGTCAGTTGATACGACGCTGCTGTGTTGATGCTCATTCAACTTCTCCCATTTTAATTCGTTGCATCTTGTCACGTGTTGCCGTTCACTGTCGACCTCCTTGTACCATTGCACAAATTTGCAGTTGTGTTCCATATTTCCGTTGTTCGTCGGTGCGGCCACGACAAAAAACATGGCTACTGATGCAAACCATGTGCATTCGTTTTCTGCTCTTATTGCGACGTCACTGTGCACTGGTGTCCCATGGAACTATGGTGACGCTCTTGCAGTTTGAATAAGTGTGCCCCCGTTTGTTCCGTCCTGTACGCAGGCGATAACCAGGTGTGTTCGTGTGTGTATAAGCAGGTTATCAAAAGGAGGTTGACAACCATTATCCACCACGTAGGTCGTAAGCGCTGCTCGAAAATCACGTATGAAAGGAAGCTCTTCGAGTATCTTACACGCACGGTTCTCAATGCCTTCTCCCTCCCGTATGTTCTCATCATCGGTGTCGAACCACCGTAGTTGCAGGATTCCCGTATCTCGTAGTGTGAGGGTATTCATTCCCGTGACCATGCAGTCTGTCACAGACGATTGGTTCTCGACCGTTCTCTTCCTCCGTTTCCTCACGATCCCGGTCTCTTCTTGCAACGCCAACAACCGGCGTACATGGTTCACCATCTGGGTTGAAGCTTTCCGCTTGTTTGATGACAGGTATGGTTGTTTGCAGAATTTCCTGTGGTGTGTTGTGCACCGTAACACTTGTACATACATTTCCATCTGTTTCACAAAACAAAAGGTGATGCCCTTGCCTGTCGAGTGCGGGATAATATTACAAATAAGGAACACGCACACTGTCATCACAGACCGGTTTTGCTTCGCCTCGAACCGACCCTCCCTCGAAAAAAAATCGCTGCCAGTGGCCACCGGCAACACAAGTTGGGGGTATGTTCGCGTGCATCTCTCACTAACGCTCTGCAACCTGGCATCTAATTCCTTGAGGATCTATGTTTGCGGTATATGCGGCAACTTGTCAAACGCTGCCGTCCTGAATGCGTCAATCATGTGCAGGAATATGTCATGCTCGATTGTATGCATACGGTCTGGCTGCAATGCCAGGTGGTAGTCTAGCTGAGGGTCTTCACCATTGGGGCCCCTGTAGAACCCCCAAAGGTCGTTTTTTTGAACATGCCTATGCATGTTCAACTCTAACATTCGTCCTTCCGCTGCACGTCGCACGTCAATGTCGTCGGATGTGAACACAGCTGCTGTGAGGTGTGTTTCGAGCGTCTGTGATCTCTTGCAGTCCGTGAAATCGACTAGGACATCAAAGTCAGTTCTGGACACGGTGCATGTCGGGCATACGCCAAACTTCACAGTCGCAAGCGCATATCGTTTTGGGTAGTCCTGTATATCGTTGAGGAGGAAAGGGTGGACAGTTATGTCCCCGAATCTAGTTGTCGGTATCATTATTCCGTCATGAGATGCCTCCTTCGCAGACTGCAACACCACTGTAAGGGCCTTGTGCAAAATGACGGCCTTTCGCTTTCTGAATGCGGTGGACTGTTGACCCCATCCTTTGTCACGTGGACGATGATGAAGCACAGGAAGATAGGCCAGCAGTGTGGCTTCGGATGCGTGGTCGGCTAGGGACATCATCAGAGGGTACGCCGTCTGTTTTTGACGACCATCCGTGTGTGTCTTGTGAGAATAGAGCGACAGAGGGATAACATAACGTGGATTTTCATTCCTGTCCACACCTTTATCTGCTCGAATGATCGACTGGATGTGATAACTTAGCGTCCCGCTGCGCGGGCCAGATATACTGAGGTCCTCTGATGGCGGGGACACCTCTAGAGAAGACACTGTCTCGCATTTCTGTAATGCGATATTAAAAATCGACAGAAATGTGGTTCGCCAATCGCGGTGCCACAAGATGGCGTGCGCATCTCGTGGCCAGTCGTCGCTACGCAGATCCGACTCCTTCCATCCCGCAGCCTCTGCTAGACTGCCTGCCCATGTCAAACACTCTCGACTATTACGGTACGCAATGTCTGTCGTGCTGAATCTCGGGTCTTTGAGAAGTGACAAGAGAGTATCTATGTGACTCTACGACATACCGACACCGCCCCTGGCAGAGAAAATCAGTGCCGCCAGCTTGCGAGAGCTGTGAAAAGACTCGGCAGGCGGCGGTTGCTGCTCTGCGAATGGCCCGCCCTTTCCGTCTGCGTTCCCGGGGGCTCCGATGTCCTCGCTCTCATCGCTCACGAGATTCACTGCACCTATGTTTGATGGCCCGCAGACGTCAACAATAAACATCTCCTTCCCTTGTGCTCTTTCGTCCACCACAGACGGGCATACCCTCGCACGATGTAAATTCAAAGTTCGTAAGGACATAAGAGGTCTGCCACAGTCGCATACCCGTGGACTGCTGTCCATTTTCTGTGCATGCAGTCCATTCCAAAGACAAACAGAACGGTGCGGACAGTGTTTTGATTAGCATTTTTTTCATTGGTTGAGGTCGCTCGAATTATAAGTTGCATAGCATATTTTGTTATATTTTGTAAGTGTTGCCCTTCCTCTTTTGTGTGTGAGAGAGAGAACGATGGAGTCTTGAATGCCGTTTTGGGAACTGACTGTCTTTGTCACTGATCCCGATTGACAAAGATTAGCAGTCAGACGTGTGACACGATAATGTATATGCCACGACAGGTTCCATGGTCCTGTTGAAAAAGGCAACGACTTGCACAAGATACACGATATGTGACATGACATTCATCACCACGTTTGTGCGGCTGGTTAAGTTTGCAACTATCCATCCATAACGTTTGTGAATGTGGTATGTGTTTTCTGCGTCTGCATCAAAATTATTGCACACCGGCACCTCAGCCGACCTCTGCATCCATTGCCAAAACATTTCACAACCTGCAAAATTTGAATTGACATCACAAAAAATGCAAAAAAAAAAAATAATATGAAACACAACATACACACATTGGTCATCATAGGGGGTGTGATGTGTCTCACGTGCTACAGAAGGCAATAAATTATGACATACATTGTAACAATCATCAAATGATTGAAATAAAGTTGCACCCAATGTTTGGACGCTGTTATGAACCGCATGTACTTGGAGAGGCAAACAACAGACAGCATGACACAGAACCTGTAGACGGATGTACATGTTGTAATATAGCTACAACTAGACATACGAGAGAGAGAGAGAGAGAGAGKGGTTCACTAGTGCGGGCCAGAACGACAACAAACAACACCGGTGGATACTTATATGGCACACAGTAGTGAACCCGACCGTGGTTGAGGGATGTACAAGTTGAGGGTTGTTTGTACAACTACTCCATTGCTATATGCTATGCATGTCTGTCATCAGGTTGACTGTAAACTATGGCGTCTCCTGTTGAGAGATGTCGTGGCCGAGCACCAACTATGGCGTCTCTTGTTGACAAGTCGGGGTTCAATGTCTCTCCGCAGGCTGTCGCCATTGCGCCGTGTATGAGGCAACTCAGGTGGATTCCCCATGTCAGTAACGTTGCTAGCACAGCCTCTCTGTTCACCAGAACAAACCATCCCTTGCCAACACGTGACCACTTTTTCCCCTTGTTGCATGCTTGCATTATGGTGGTGACTGCGGCATACTGTAGAGCACCGTCAGGTGTTGCCCCCTTCATCACAACACACAGCACATTGTGCGGATCGGGGAAAGCACATGCCAACCTTAGAACTGCATGTGCCCAACCTTTTGACATTTGTCCACCCGCCCCCTTCAAATCATAGTAAACATCATCTTCCTCGTCTGCCTCGTCGCTGCTGACATCGCTGCCACTCACCTCCACGTCAGAAGACGATGCCTCCTCATCCTCTTCTTCATCTTCTGCTATATCTTCATGGTCTGTGTATATTGCAAGACAACTTGCCAAATCGGCGTCTGCGAATCCAACATCACACTGATCTCTCTCCATAGCGTTAGTATTGAAGATATCCGCAAGCAGTACCTCCTCTGTATCTGTTATCTGCATGGGAGGCACATCGACTGCCATACTGCTTATTGATTCTCCTGCTGCTAATGTCTCTCCGTTGTCTGGAATGATTGCTAAACTTGTTTCCCTGACGATCAACTTCCACCCTCCTTCTCTTTCTCTTTGTCTCTCAACATCGCAACTTGCAAGACTGAGCCGGTCCAAAACGCGTGACAATAAGTCCCCCCACAACGGTCTGCCGGATATGAAGTCGTCTTCTCCTCTCGCTGGCACAAATTCGATCAGATCTTTACCCTGCAGTGCAAACTCTGTCACTTCGTGCAACGCCTCGTGGATGCCGTTCCTGTCCTCATCACTTTTTTTCATGAAATCGCAGAGCTAATCCAGCAGAACATATTCCACACCATCTGCAACAATTATTGGAATATCTTAAAGTCCTGTGGTGGTGTTTGTGTGATGTCCTTCATTCTGGACACCACCAAGATCTCTGCAGCACCACTTTTCAACTCGTCCTTTGACCCATCAACAAGCATGTCGGAGTTCTTCGCCACAGTGCCCAACAACTTTTTGAAATCTGCAGGTGCATACGTTCCCCCATTTTGGTGCATTGTCATATCCACGTCTCCATCTTCGCACATCCCTTCGTTGCACATCCATTGAACCACTCCTTTTAGACTATAAGGACTATGTTCCACTTCGTTGTCCACACGTACATGTGGTGACTCTCTGAAGCGTTGCAAGAGCATTCGTGCCTTGACACAACCCTCGTCATTTGCCATGATTGTGGATCTCATATCCACACTAACTCCGAAGTACCTCGGCACCCTCTCCTTCAGCAAAGAGAACTCGATGTCATCGTTGTAGTGGATGTCCTCCGCTGCATACTTCATTACCTTAGCAAGAGCCTTCTCCACCTGTACTACCGACATCGACATGATGGTACAGTTTGTCTTTTGTCCTCTTCTCTCTGCCAGGCGAAACGCACAATGACGTCATCGACATCCGTGTGTGTGTGTGTGTGTGTGTGTATTTGTGTACATGTGCATTGACGTATGTGTGTGTGCATGGTCTGTGCATGGTCTCCTTGTCTGTGCCCAAGTTGGCTACTGCGTGCCATTCCAAGTCGCAACGGTGGTGATTCCTCAGATTCTGGCACGCAGTAGCCAACTTCATTGCTGCATGCCAGAATGTGTGTTTGTGTGTGTGT